ACTCTCCTTCTGTCCTCCCTAGTCATTGTCCAACACTCTGATGCATAATAAGCGATTGGAAAGACCATGGCCCGTATCAGGCGCACCTTAGTCTCCAGAGAGACACCGTTGCTCTTGAGTACTTTAGAGAGGTCTTTACCAACAGACTTTCCCATCACAATACGTTTTTTGATTTCCCGGTTGCTGGTGCCAAGAGTGTTGACTGTGGAGCCAAGCAAACCGAAGCTGTGAACACTCTCAATTTCTTCGCCATCCATCCTGATGCTTCGGGTATGTTGCTAGGATGTTCTTTTCCTTGGAGAACGACATGATTCTGGGAAGGGTGGAGAGTCAGCACAGGAGAGGAAGACCCTTGACCAGATAGTCTTGATGGTAACTTCTGCAGTGGGCTCTAGTGCGTCAAAGTGTCAGGTTGGCACAGGATAAGACAGGGTTCATAGTTTCGTCTGTGGTAGTCAGCCTTGGGAAACAAGTTTATGTGGCTGAGCCCATAGTGATATCTTCTTTCCTGCCAGAATAATTCCTTTGTTCACTAATCCATTGGGAAGGAGACGAGTAACTTGGTAATGAGGACGTTTGATAGCCACAGAAGATACCCTCTTCTTTACCTGGCTTTTAGAATTGCCTTAAAGCACTTTATGTTGATGTTTGAGGACTGCTATTTTCGTTATGTTTTATGTCTCAGCTAGAAAACAAAGACCTCTCAACTGGGCCAATGAGCAGTATAATAAACAGAAAAAATATTGAGCATTTAAAAAATCTCATTTTTTCTTGAATTCCCAGACACCACCAATAAAAATAGTAGTCAGGAATTCAGGAAACACTATGACATCTGTTGACAATCTGGAACAAAAGATGCATTGTGGAGTGGGCTGGGGGATAGGTAGAAAATATGATATATTAAAAAACTCAAGAAATAAAAAGAAAACTCTTAAAACAGATAACATTGATTAATGTTGCATTGAATAATTATTGCAGAAGACCTGTTTAAAGTGTTGAAAACATGTAGAGGACTTTTAAATATGCCGCAGACTGACAGTGTCTTGGAAGAGGTCTAGCCAGTATGTTTCCTAGAAAAAGATGGTACGACTTTCTCTCACATACTTTAGCCTTATTATTAGAAGAAACCAGTCCCTGGAGCCTGATCCATTAAAGGAGAGAGTGAAAAAGGAAGATCCTCCAGGGATTGACTCAGCCAGCATTTCATTTTATATAAATGAAATTAGGTGTGTTAAAAGGTGTCATATTTCAGCATGTTTTTAAATGCAAGTCCCCTTTTCTTTGTGATTATTAGGACTTTTATATTGGATGAAATTTTAAGAGGGGCCATATTAAAAGACTATATATCAGAAAATACTAAAACCAGAAAAATAATGTCTTGTATTTTAACTTGTTAGTGTTGTATGTCATTTATTCTTCTTGTCACTAGTTCCTGGTTTTCATATATCCTTTGTTACACAGAAATTGAGCAGAAAGTATTACTGTATAAAGATAATATGGCGATTTTTTTAGTGAAGTAGAAAAGAATGAATGACTTTAGTTCTGTCTCTAGTCCTGTAAAATTTTTTCTCTTCCATTTTTAGAAATAAAAAACCAAACCGACCTTCTGAGTTTTAGTGGAAAAACACTTAGTGTGACCACAGGTTCAGTTCCCTCTCTAATGCGGGATCTTGGAGCTCTCCCCTGTCAGTATGTCAACCTGGAGCTCATGAACACAGAACCACAAGGTACGGTTCCTCTCCCCTTGCCCAGCTGAGAAGCAACAGCAGTCACTGGGACAGTAGGCTGGACACGTCCCACTTGTGTGCAACCTCTCTGACTTTGGTGCATTTTCAAATCTGTGTAATACCATGATTTGAAAAGTGGCTTTCTTATTTTGAGAGAGTAATTATATAAAAATACTCTCATCTCTTCCATAGTTAGGAAATGTAAATATAAGCTAAAAATTATAACTAGAAATGAATGGAGTTAAGTGATGAAACATTTTCATTATCCTTCAGAAAATGTCCTGAAAACTGCTTTATATATTAAGAGTCCAATTTTTTTTGTTACTGTTTTAGGATCTTCATTTACACATTTGTTACTAAAACTTGCTGAATCTAAAATGTTTTCATTTTGCTACTCTAAGGCATGTTGCTATTTCTTTTCCTCCTCTCATCTTTCAAGTCTGTGAGCCTGTGTATGTGAAGTCAGCTGGCTCCTGCATGCGATGCTGCCCAGCCTCTACACCTCCTGGTACAATTGCTACAGTCACCTGGGGCACAGGATCTAATCTAGTTTTTTCTTGTTCTTTAGAATGTTTAATGGGAACAGTGGGGACTCTCCTGCTTGAAAACCCTGTTGGGCAGAATGGACTCACCTACCAAGGCCTTCTTTGTGAAGCAGCCAAGATATTTGGCCTTCGGAGCAGGAAGCTAAAGCTGTTTCTGAATGAGACTCAGATAAATGGTGAGGTGCTTCTAGAGCATGGTAAATTATTTTATTGGAAGTAGGTTTTGATGCCACTGGCCTTTTATCCATTATATGTGTATCAGAGGTATTAGTTTTACAGAATGTTACACAAGTTACGTCAGGAGAGCCCTGCTAATATAATATGTATATTACATGCAGAAGTTGTTGTTGTGTTGAAGCTGACCCATAGCTGACCATCTCGCAGATTTTCAGAGGCAGTTAATCACATGGGAGGAGATTGCCCCCATTCTCCTGTGGAGCAGTTGGTGAATTCAAATGACATGTCTTCAGGTTTTCAATGCAGCTTCTTACTACTAGGTCACCAGAGCTCTCTAGAGCTATACATATGTTGTTGATTGCCATTGAATTGAGCACAACTCATAGTGACCCTATAAACAAAAGGCCTAAAGCAAGTGCATAGAGTTTCCACAGGCATGTTTAGGAAGTGGATGTCACTCCTTCCAATGTATACATAAATGCATATAATATAAATGCCATTTTTTTCCAGTAATTTAAAGAGTAATAATCTTTGTTTTTTGGAAGTAGTCTAAAAATTACATTAGCATATTAAAAATTACTTTCTAGATAGATTAACATATTTGTTATTCTGTAAATTACTCCTTTCCTAGGGATGATCAAAATTAGAAAAGATTATAAAGTTAATCTCTAAGTGGATATGTAGGCAGACAGGCAAGACAAATTGATAAGGACATATATAAAAAGGACTACTTTAAAAAAAGAAGATTGTAAAATAAGAACCTGAATAATCATATAGCTAACGTGTGTCCTCTCCTTTGTTGTTGTTGTGTGCTTTAGAGTCAGAACCAACTTATAGCCTAGCCGCCAGCAGATTTTCAGAGGCTGTAAATCACACAAGAGAGATCACTCGTCTTTCTCTTGAGGCCAGTCCCTTTGGATTGGTAGTGCAGTTTCTTAACTGCTGGGCTCTCCAGAGCTCAACAAGTTAAATAGCTATACAGAAAGGATTATATCCCTGATGCACATCTTCCCTGATTTTAAACCATGCAGTGTTCCCTTATTCTGTTTGGACAGCTGCTTTTTGATATGTCCAGGTTTCACATCTGGGATTCTCACTCTTCTTGATGTTAGCCATAATTTGTTAGGATCCATACAGTCAAATGCCTCAGCATAGTTAATAAATGCCTATTCTGTATCAGGTGTGTTCAGTTTAATATTGCTACTACTGAAATCATTTCCCCAGACAACTTCTCTGTATAATATCCTGTTTTTCCTATTGAAAACCTTCCTTTTAATCATCCCAACTCAAAAGCTTATACTGTGCTGTCCTTTTCTTGTTTGAGCTCAGTATTTAATCAACTTTCTAAATCAGCATTTGTAACTTTCAGCAGTTGTAGAAAATTAGCAGACATCCTTTTCCTGTATCACCTCTTATTCTAATATTACTTTTTTAACTTTGTTGTTGTTATTACAGCTTTTCACTTCATCCTCTCTGTGTCTTAATTTTCCTTGTGTTTTTGTCTTCTTTGCCTGTCTGTGCTATATATTGGATAATCTTGGCAAATTTCCTCTGGTTTCTGTCAAAATTATGTTTTTAAGAAATAGTTGTCTTTTTGATTCTAATATGTAGAGCCGCTGTGCTCCTTATAGGCAAGCATGGTGAAATTTTGCCTCACTTTGGTCATGTTGTCAGGAGAAGCCAGCCAGTCCTTGGAGACATGCTGAGACCCTGTGTTCTTCCTTTTGATCATTCTTATCCTTCCGGTATTTTATTACGTATAAGTTAGCACCTTTTATGGTTATACCATGGTTCTTGGAAATCCTGTTCCATACTTTCATTCTTATTTTTACTTTGCATTTTTGGAACTTTCTGTTCACATAATTCCTAGCTTCCCTGATTTTTTTCTTCTCCTCCTCTGTGAGTCTGTCATAGGCATTCCTCCTTTCTCTACACATGACTTTCTAAATTTATTTCTTGTATTTCTTTTGAAAGCACCTTTTAGAGCTAAAAGTTAAATGAAAATAGAAAATTTGTTTTCTCACTTTAAAAAGTAATATTAGGAGGGTCTGCTTCATGTGCTACCCATTGCCCTATGCTTGATTTGCCAAAATTGCTACTCTGTTATAATTCTTAGTAATTTTCTAACAAAGTGTTCATATTTTCAAGGGCTCACCAGTCCTAATCAATATAAGTGCTAAATCTAATTTAAACTTAAAATTTGGGATTTATAATTGTGTGTTCTTATATATTATCTGTTATGATTGATGCTTGCTGTCAAATTGATGTCAAGTAACAGAACTGTTGTTAGGTGCTGTCTAGTTGAGTACGACTCATAGCAACCCTATGAACAAAAAATGTGAACCTTGTTCTATCCTGCACCATCCTCACACTTCCTGACACACAAGAACGCATTGCTGCAGCCACCCTGTCTTCCCCTTCTTCAACATGTCCAAAGTATGTGAGGCAAAGCCTCGTCATTCTTGCCTACAGAGAGCACTCTGGCTGCACCTTCTCCAAGACATATCTATTCATTCTCTTGGCTATCCATGAGTTGTTCAGTGGTCTCCTCCAGCATCACAGCTCAAAAGTGTCAATTATTATTCTGTCAGATTCATAGCAAGTGATCGCAAAGACTGGCCTGAATCAGATGCACCTTAATCCTCAAACTGACATCACTACTCCTCAGGAATTTGGAAAGGTCCCTACCTGCAGATTTTCCCATTGCTGTGCATCGTCTTATTTCCTGACTGCTTATACTAAGGGTGTTAATTGTGGATCCAAGCAAGATGAAGCTGTTAACAGTTTGAATGTCCTTTACATACATCATGACGCTACCTATCAGTCCAATGGTAAGAATCTTTGTTTCCTGTCATTGAGAAGCAATCCATACCAAAGACTACATTCCTTGATCTCCTGCAACAACCCAGATTGGAAGTCAGTTTAAATGAAGAAAAATAACAACAAACATCATTTAACAATTAGCCGTTGTTGTTGTTAAGTGCTGTTGAGTCGAGTCGCAGGCTCTAATTTAACAATTAGAGCATGGAATAAATGTAACTTGAATGTTGAAAAATTGGAAATTGTTAAAAATGAAATGGAATGCATGAATGTTAATGTACTAGAAATTAGTGAGATGAGATGGACCAGCTTTGGCCACTTTGGTAATCATATGGTATGTTATACTGGGAATGAAAAACAGAAGAAGATTGGTCTTGGATTCATAGTCAAAAAGTCAATATTCGGTTCTGTCCTGAAGTAGAGTGTTGTGAGTGATAAGATAATATCCATACACATACAAGGAAGACCTGTCAACACGACTATTGCAAATATACTCTCTTACATCTAGAGCCAAAAAGGAAGAAATTGAAAACTTTATGAAATCTTGTAATCTGAAATTGACCGAACATGTAATCAAGATACGTTAATGATAATTAGTGACTAGAATGCAAAAATAGGACAACAGTGAAGAAGGAATAATAGTAGTTCGAAAATATGGACTTGGTGATAAAAGGCTGGAAATAAAGTGATTAAATTTTAATTTACAATTATTTATTGCACCTGCATTTTTTTAAAAGACACTAATGACAACTTTACACATGGATTTCACCTGATGGGCTGCATAGGAGTCAGATTAACTATGCCTGTGTACTAAATCGTTAGAGAAGCTCAATATCTGCAGTCAAAACTAGGCCAGGGACAAACTGTGAATCAGATCATTGAATTCATATGCAAGTTCAAATTGAGGCCAAAGAAAATGAAATCCACAGGAACCAAGATAAGATCTTGAATCAATTCCATCTGAATTTCATGATCATCTTAAGAAAAGGTTTGGGGCATTGAACATTAGTGATAGAAGACCAGATGACCAAAATCAAAATGAATGTTAGAAGAAACTCTAAAAATTGCACTGCAGCGTCAAGAAGGGAAAAGATGTCAGTGTGAAAGAGCTGAACAGAAGATTTCAAAGGGCAGCTTGGGAAGACGAAAAAAAGTATTATAATGGAATGTGTACTTCGAGAATAACAAGAGAAGAATTCGCTCTGCTTTCTCAAGCTGAGAGAATGGAAAAACAAATTTAAGCCTCATATCATAATATTGAAAAATGCTATGGGTAGACGGAGAAATTACATCCTAGTGGGTAAGGAGTTGGAGTGTCAACTGAAAGGCAAGTAGTTCTAATCCATCATCATCTCCTTGGGGGAAAAATTGTGATTTGCAACCCCTGAAAACCCACTGGCATGTCAGCTGTGAATTTGGGTCGGGGTTTGTTTTTTGGTTGTTTTGTTTGTTTGTTTGTTTGTTTGTTTGTTTTATATATATATTCAGTGTGTTTTAATTCATTTTTATTTGTATTATAAATTTGAGTACTTAGCTTATCCATTTGTGGTTAGATTGCTTTTTGTATGCCTTGACATAATCCTTTCAGTCTTTCTGAGCAAGACATTTCCTAGGGTTATCATATGCTCTTACTTTTTTAGACCTGTAAAAAATCTTTTCTGCTGTAGAGATTTTCACTGCTAAAGATAGAGCCTCTCCAGTGGTTCAAATACACTACTGGCTCTCGGCAGAAAGATGGGCAAGATCCTCCCATGCAGTTTACAGCCTTAAAAACTTGCTGGAAGGTAACTTAACAGTTTGTTTTAGAGACTTTTTAATAGAGAAGGAAATCTAGGTGCTGAAAGTGCACATTGCTTCTGAATTGTCATTCCCTCTTGGCATATTCTGTGGGCATAGAAAATTTGTGTAGATGTTAGGGAGGAGGGAACAAGGTTAACAGTTTTCAAAGTGTTTGTCCACAATAGGTGGGAAATGGCTTTTTTCTTTTTAAACGTTTTCTTTCTTTATTAGAAATTACGGAGGAAATACCCATGAAGACTTTGAATATGAAGACTGTATATGTTTCTGTAATCCCAACAATGGCAGAAATCTGATGTTCGTATTCTGTCAGCTTTTCCCTGTTTTACACCCCACCCCAACACACACAGAGAAAACGAAGATAAATGTGTAACCAGCTGCTTTTGGTCAAAGTTTAAATGGGACGGATTGATTGATTGATCAAGTGATGAGACCTCACAGTAATATTGACACCTTATTTTGAAAACCTCAATAGTCATGTTGAAGGATCTTGTTACCTCAGCACTACAGAATATGTTGCTGTACTTGAGTTCTTTTCCTCTGAGTTCTCAAGGTATATGACATTATATATATCATTTTAGCCACCTGAAGGAATGGACCTGTTAAATAGTCTGCCAACTGGATTTTTCTGGGCAGTGGAATATTTTCAATTTCAGTAAATGGGAATAATAAACTTTCTCTCAAATAATGTTCATGTTGGAAATTCTTTATTCTCTCGTAATTTAATGAAACTTTAATGAAATTTTCATTTAATGAAAATTGGTAATCTTTGGGGAAGACAGAAGCTTAATAGTGACTTCTCTAGTAAGTCCAGTAACTTAACAAACTCCTAAGTTGCTAGGATCCTTGGAGAAACTGATGTCAAGACAAAACCAGATACACACACAAGAATTTATACTGGGAAATGTATAAGAAAGACAAAGGGGAAAGGAAGCAGAAAAACATGATGGGGAGAGCTCCAATGTGAATGTAAGCCTGACACCTCTGAAAAGAACGAATGGAAATAAAGGAAAGATTGATTAGAGTAAGCCTCAGACTTCAGTGCAAGTTTGCAAAAGTCCTAATTAGACCAGTAAGAGTCTCAAGTTGGTAGAAATGCCCTGGCTTTTCCATTTGTCAGATCAATGATATGGTATATGGCTGTAACACCATTTAATCATTTGTTCTGATAGTGCAAAAGGCTTAAGACCTCTCTTCCTCATATCCAATTCACTTGAAGAGATAATAGATTGGTTCTTGTATAACTACTATAGTAAAAAACAACAAAAACAGTGAAGCTTTAAATTTAAGGTGGCAATAGACAAAGTAAGAAACAAACTTATGTATAGCTCAGAATCCTTAATTTACCTCTGAAACTGAGGGGAAGGAATGACAGAAAATTAGGAAATGTCAGTTGAACCAGAAAGAAAAACTATATGATGTTTATAACTGCTCCCCATTTCCACATTGATAGACCACTGTCCATGCCCCACCATAGTTGGTATTTGGAAGTTTATTCTTAGAGAATAAACTACAGAAGTCACTGTTAAGCTTTTGTGTTCTCTAAAGATTACAAAGATTTGTTTAGAAGAAATGGAGTGAAGTTTGGGATAATTCATTAGAACTCTTTGAAAGAGACAGCCCTAGTTAATAAAAGGAAAGAATCTAGATTAAAATCACCCAGAGGGAAGGGGGGAAACCCACATAGAATCAGAGCTAATCAGTTAACATTGATTGATCTTTGTATTGCTTTCATTGTCATTACTGTGTACTCACCCACAGTCAGTGTTTATTCTGATTGGAAAATGCCTCAGGGTTTTACAGTCTCCTATGGATTTTTTTATATGTATGTTACAAGGAAGTGGGTTGAATTTTCTTTATTTGATGATATTTCTCTTAAAGTGGTTTGTAGAGTACACAGATTGTGTATTCTTTTTGTTTGCTTACAGAATTCATATACATTGTATATGAACTCACACTGTTTCTCATTCAGTGTTTCATACAAACATTCTCATGCATTATGTTTTACAAAATTAATCACCATTGGGTTTGCCCATCATTACCCTGCCATTTCAACCCAGATCCTTCCCATTTCCTTACCCCACTCCCACTACCCACCAAACTGCAACCTTGTGGTTTCACCCTGTGTATTTTTCTCTAATTTTGCATGCCAGTTTGCAACCTTTAAAATTCACTCTTGGGTTCACCTTGCATGTACTTATTATGATATGTAGATAACTTGTTTAAATTCTCAGCAGGACTTGTCAATACTTTCTTGGTATTTCATCTATCTACTGAGGAACATAAAGTCTCTTGAGAAAAGTTACAGTTGCCTTAACTTTATTTAACCAAAGTGAAATACCTTGGACATAAATCTTAGAAGGAATTAGTATTGATCCTAAAAGAAAGTATTGAAGCTTGTGAGCAAATATTTAGAAGGACTAATAAGCCCTGAGAACCTCACCCTTCCCAGCCCTGAAACTGCAGGAATCAGATGATACCTTGCTACCTGCCACTTCTGACCACTCTGGAGTCACAGTAGAAGGTCCTGGATAGAGGTGTATGGAAATACAGGATAAAACCTAAAAATACAAGGCTTACTCATTGAGTAGGAACTGGCAGAACCCCTGAAATTGTTTAATCATTCCTTGAATGTAACCACTCTTTGAACTTGGTATAAAAAACTCAGCTGCATTCTCCAACTTAAAGCTAAAAAATGGACAAGTGTATGAGGTGAGCAGGTCAGATCATAATTTTAAAAATAAAGACTTGGGAGGACTTTGCAGCTACTGTGGGACTTGAATACCTAATCTTTATGTAATTATTCAGCCTCCTTACATAGAATTTGGACTCTTTTTTCTACTTTCTGAAGGTGGCCTAAATGGTATCCTAGTTAAAAGAAGTTGTCATTAACACCAACTTTTTTAATTGGAAAAAACATATTGGGGGTACAAGGAGGCAAGGGTTGGGGGCAGAAGGGTGAGGATGGGCAGGGATGCAGTTGCAGAGCTGCACAGTTTGGTTGGTGGGGGGAGCAGATGACGGAAATGAAAAGGATCCAGTGGGGACCAGATGCTACAGGAGAATGGTAAGCATTTTCCAATGGCAATTAAACCAACTGTCTTACTGATTTGGGAACTGGATGCAGACTCTCTGGCTGCTTCACGCTGAACAGGGGCGTTGATGTGAAGGGGGAAAGGGAGGACACTTTATCACCTTACTGGTGATCTTGGGTTAAGGCTGCTTGCCTTCTTGTTCTGTTAGAAGATATTTTCCTGTCATTTGCCTGCAAAGTGTTTTCCCAGGTGGGTCCAGTGGGGATGGCTGGTTGAACC